GCTGAGCAGTATTCCAAACCCAGTGGCAGGCATGACAGTTAACATACTTGTATATATGTAAGGCAATAAAGGAGTTATTTAAGACACTGACGCTATGTTTTTTTTTTGCCGGAAGAGCTAGAGACAACTGTTAGACAAACGTTTTCATTTGGTTCTTTTTACGGACCTGTTTGCAGCTCTGACCTAGAAGATCGAGTAAAACAGGAAATTCTCGCTGAGCTGGAAAAGTCGTTCAGAAAGACAGTTTTTCTTTCAAAGAGCAAACACCTATTCTTAATAAAATGCTATTAGATTGTTTGCATTTGTAATCCTGCCAAGAATCTTCCAAGTACTTTCCAAGACCTTCAGCTGTTAAGTACCTCATATTTGGGTCAGTATGGTTTTGTCAGCCAGTTAGAAGGTGGTGACTGTTTTATGGTAAGATTGTGTAAAAGGTTTGTCTATGTTTCCTGTAGACATAACCAGCTCATAATACTTCTTAGAAATTGCCCATTATGAACTACTATTGCCTTCCCTCAAAGTCAGAAAAGGTCATGGTAGTCATTAAATGCTTATCGTTACTATAGGATTGGAAAAAAAATTCCAGCACAAGGGGCGAAGGGGGTTCTTCACAGTAAGATCAGTTAGGGTCTGGAACTCACTGCCACAGACAGTGATTTCAGCAAAGAATGTGGAATTGTTCAAGAAACTTTTGGACGATTTCTTAAGGGACCGTAATATACAGGGGTACAGGTACTCCTAGAATGAGATCCTAATAGGTTGGATTTGATGGACTAATGTCTTTATTCAACCTCAAATACTATGTAGCTATGTAACTATGTAAAATTCTGCTCTGGTATTTCCTGACCAAATGCCATATGTGATATGTACGTTATGGGAGAAGCACCCAATATAAACTGTGAGCTAGCCAAGATATCAGGACCAGCCATCATATTATCCTGCAGCATGGTTTCTACACAACTCGTACCTTCAGGGAACATGGGGGAGGTCTTCTGAACTTTCTGAGATAAGACAGAGATATTAGTGTAAATGTATTGCATTCTTTATGAATGAATACATCACTTTTGTGCATTTATAGATGTCTGCAATATTCATCAGAAAAAGGATGCCACTAAAAAGTTAAAGTGCAACTGAAGCCAAAACTTGTTTATAGTTATGGATGTAGTGGAGAGGGATTGGAACATCTGTCAGGTTTTCATTGCTGTCTGTGTCCCCGTTGGGGAGATTCACCCTCTCTGTTTGGTGATCGTTATCACTGACAGTAAAAGAAAATCCCCAAATTATGGGTTGTCACCAGAACAGGGGTAGATGGGAAACCTTTCAAAGGAGATCCTGCTGACCACCAGGGATTTCCCTCACTTTGGAAGGATTTCCTCTCGCTTCCTGTTGTGTCTATTGGACATGAATTGAAGGGAAATCTCTCCAATTGGACACAGAGTGATGACCCTCTGCTACTCTATCCAAAACTAGGTTTTGGCTTCAAATCTATTTTTACTAATCTACTATTTTACTCTAGATTTCACTTGCAGTACCATTTTTCTCCCACTAGATGTCCTCAAGTTGATAGCCGGTATCATTCCTCTGAGCCCAGGTCATCCTAGACTGGACAGTGAATGGAGCAGCAGGACAGTGATGAGTTCATCTCTCTGTCACTCTGCTTTCTCTTCCTATCCGCATGCTTCTTGTCAACAATTGAACTGATTGGCTCCTTGCACTAGTTCTTCCTCCTCATATTCCAGCCCTGTTATACAGGCGGCTGATACCCGGTCAAATTCAGGTACTTACATTGCTTGCATTTGAACAATACTTGTAATGATGCATCAGTGGTTACAGAGCTGCAGCTTTAATTTAGGCTAATGCACACATCATTTACTGTAATACACCAAAACTTACACTTAAAGCCAGTATAGAGATAAAATGTACATTTCCACTGCTGACCCTCCCTTTGGAAAATACTATTTCCCTAGCTGTCACCCTGCTCCTGGTTCTGACCTAGAACATGCAAACAACTTTGGAAATCTGATTTAATTCTAACTTCTCTGGTCTGCAAGCTTGGTCCAAAAAGGGCCGCATTTCGGTATAGCTAATATACTCCACTGCCTAGGGCGGTATGGATGGCAGGGGCGGCACACAGCTACCCGCCCATCATGTTGTTGACTTGGTCTGTACACCTAGAACCAATGCAGAATGTGGAGACAGCCCTACCCTTTTTGGTCCAGTTTTAGTGACAAATAATAGGCAAACTGGTTCTTTCAGCATTGTTGTCCCTTGTGTGGCTCTGATGTCTGATCCTATCAGTGTGGTACCCTGCTGAGGAGGGTAAGGCTGAGGGGTTACACATGAAAAGGAAGCTTTTTCTTGCACACGGGGTTCCTCTCCCCGTGTATGGAGGCTGCACATCCGCCCCCCCCCTCCTCTAAGTTAATCTTTTATACATTCCTAATTTCCACCAGAGTAGAGCGCTTACTACTTTTTTGTTTTATTCTTGGGGTTACACATGGTAGCTCTGTTTGGCATCCCGCTCAGCTCACTGACGTCACTGGTTGCCAGGAAACGCCGGCCAGAGCATCACAGGTTTCTAAGAGCTCCTAGGAAACTCTGGCCGGGAAGTGGGCGGCCTGTTATTGGCTATTGCAATTTGAAATATCCAATAGCATGCTGGCTATTGCTCCCAGCAATGAAGTAAAAAAAATAAAGTTTCAAAAAATTAAATTAAATTTAAAAAAGTTAAAAAAATTAATAAGAAGTAAAAAAATATGTAAAAAAAAAATAAAGTTAAATACATAAAAAGTATAAAAATACAAAAAAAGTTTACAAAAAATAAAAAGTTAAATAAACTCAAATTAAAAATCCCCCATACAATTAAAGGCCCCAGCCCCTGCGAACACACACATACAAAAAAAAAGTTGTAGTTCTCTATAGCTGGTGTTTCTTTTCATTGCTGTATAAAGTATTGCTGGGATTTATAGTCATCTATAGCTGTTGGTGTCTATATAGCTGTCTATAGATGTTATTCTACATTGGGGTATAATGTATTGGTTGGAATTGTAGTTCTCTATAGCTAATGGAATTCTGCATAGCTGTATAATGTATTTCTGAGATTTATAGTCCTCCATAGCTGATGGTGGTATTCTGCATTGCTGTATAATGTGTTGCTGAGATTTGTAGTCCCTCTACAGCTGGTGGTATTAGGCCCCATTCACACTGCGCGACAGCAGGACCCTTTGCCCCATTGCAAAGCATTGAAGAGCGATATTGCGCGGTAAATAGCCGCGATATCACGGGAATTACCGCGCGATAAATCGCTCAATGTGAACGGGGCCTTATGCTACATTGGTGTGTAATGTGTTGCTGAGATTTGTAGTCCCTCTACAGCTTGGAGTTAGTGGCAGAACTACCAGGGTCGCAGCAGTCGTACACGCGCACAGCACTGACGAGGCATCCGTCCACTACCAGTGTGCTATAATTTCCCTCAACCCATTCATTTCTCTACCGCGTCTCTTCCAGGTGTGCATGTCATGAAGAATGGGGGTCATGAAAACCCGCTGATTGGGATGGCTCGGCCCCACTGGAAGTAACACAGTCGAGAAAATGTATAGAATCGAGAAAAATTATACAACACTCACTTTGGTACTGTCCGGCCCCTCCCACAGCCTAGAAGCACGGACAGCCAGCGGCGGTCTACAGTGGGCGAGAGTGCCTAAGTACCGGACATGGAGCAGAGTAAGGCCAGAACCATGTATGGAGCCCAGTGGGAGGACAGCACCATCCCCTAGCCAGTCACCCCTTTCATGGACTTACTAGGAGTCTTCACATCTCCTGACCATTCACACTACCGTTACATGGATGGTAAAAGTGGCAGACGGGTGGGGAGAATGCGGGGAGCAGGCAGAGCGGGAGGGGGGCCAAGTAGCTGCACCATGGGCCTCTGGGTTGTACTTGTCCCCTGGGCTAAAAGTTGCCAGTCAGCCCCTGCTGGCGTCCGCGGTATTCAGGATTATGGGCGGCGTTGGACTACATGTTGCAACCGCAGGGTGCAGATGTCATCCGCAATTAAATCATCTCTCGGCGCCCAGCTCCCCCCCCCCCAGATTTGACTGTGGTATCTTATGTGCCCCCCTATATATTGTTTCTAGAGTTGCGACTGCTCACAGATAACAGCAAAGCTTCAATACTGCAGTGGGTTAGTGGTTGCTAGGACACCCACATGCATTTAGATATGTCCAGCGTATCTAATCTGCCCACTGACAGCATCCTAGCAACCAATGAAGCATCTTCGGCTCCATTCAGCTGCCGGACGGGAGATGCCCCAGAGAACAGCTGAATGTAAACAAAGGCACGGTGGGCACACTGCGGTGCGATTGTACTGCATCTGTCACACATCATGTCATAAGTGCAAGTGACACAATGCTTTCCTAAATAAGGCGCAGGATGTTTTAAAGGGACTATACCACCAGAAAAGTGTCATACATGTAGGGCCTCTGGCAGGCGTCACACCCAGCTCACTGGTAGCCAGGAGCTCAGTGGGATGCAAGCCACAGTGTCCAGCTCACCTCCTGGCAACCGCTGACCTCAGTGAGCAGGGCGAGACGCCAGAGCGTCACAAGTTGCTAAGAGATCTTAGGAACCTGGGACGCTGTGGCCGCCCCCCTATACCTGGCTTCCCCTCAATGAGATACCACCTGAGGCAACTGCCTCAGTTATAGGGTCGGCCCTGCATACATGCATTATTAAGTTCCCCCAGTATGTCACTTTTGCAATAAAAGCCTGCCTGTTCGCCCTTTTGTAACTTTCTCCTAAAGTTCCACTTTAAATAAGCGCTTGGGCTGCCACCCTGTGCTCTTCATGGTTGACCTCCTGCTTTTATCATCTCACTTAGTAGAATGTCTTCACTCATATGTCAGTTGAGGTCGAGTCTCCCGGGCACACTGAGGTGCAGGTCATACGTGGTCTTGGTCAGCTCATGACCGCTGGGTGTCTCTTCTCACGTGCACGCCGCTCACTGTACAGTCAGCCCACAGGGCGCGCCCACCTGCTCAGCTTACCGGGACAGGTGAGGCGCGAGCACGTCTCTTCGCTGCAGGTAATGTGGATGTGAACGCGCATGAGCACCCCATAGGCGACCAGTGACACTGCGGCCGCTCGTCCCCAATCATCAAGCCAAGACAACCCCCGGGAACATCAGACCGGCCATCCCGGACCATCTGTGCAATCACCATGGCTCTGGCCGAACTCTACACTCAGGTATTGTCCCCTCCCTGACACGCACGCACTGCTGGGCTCTCTCTCATAACGTCCTGTCCCCTATGTACAGCTCCTTGTGATAGTGCACTCATCGCCCTCTTATAGTGTCCTCTCCTCTATGACAAGTGTACAAGAGCTTACACTCATCTCCCTCTGATAGTGTCCTCTCCTCTATGACAAGTGTAGAAGAGCTGACACTCATCTCCCTCTGATGGTGTCCTCTCCTCTATGACAAGTGTACAAGAGCTTACACTCATCTCCCTCTGATAGTGTCCTCTCCTCTATGACAAGTGTAGAAGAGTTGACACTCATCTCCCTCATATAGTGTCCTCTCCTCTATGACAAGTGTAGAAGAACTGACACTCATCTCCCTCTGATAGTGTCCTCTCCTCTATGACAAGTGTACAAGAGCTTACACTCATCTCCCTCGTATAGTGTCCTCTCCTCTATGACAAGCGTACAAGAGCTTACACTCAGCTCCCTCTGATATTGTCCTCTCCTCTGTGACAAGTGTACAAGAGCTTACATTTATCTCCCTTTCATAGTGTCCTACTCTCTTTAACAATTGCACAAGAGCTTACACTCAGCTCCCTTTCATAGTGTCCTCTCTTCTATGAAAAGTGTACAAGAGCTTACATTCAGCTCCCTTTCATAATGTCTTCATCCCTATGACAAGTGTACAAGAGCTGACACTCATTTCCCTCTGATAGTGTCCTCTACTGTATGACAAGTGTACAAAAGCTTACACTCATCTCCCTCAGATATTGTCCTCTCCTCTTGACAAGTGTAGAAAAGCTGACACTCATCTCCCTCTGATAGTGGCCTCTACTCTATGACAAGTGTAGAAAAGCTGACACTCATCTCCCTCTGATAGTGGCCTCTACTCTATGACAAGTGTAGAAAAGCTGACACTCATCTCCCTCTGATAGTGGCCTCTACTCTATGACAAGTGTAGAAGAGCTTACACTTAGCTTCCTCTTATATTGTCCTCTCCTCTATGACAAGTGTACAAGAGCTTTCACTCAGCTTCCTCTTATGATGTCTTCGCCTCTATGACAAGTGTACAAGAGCTGACACTCATCTCCCTCTGATAGTATCCTCTACTCTATGACAAGTGTACAAAAGCTTACACTCATCTCCCTCAGATATTGTCCTCTCCTCTTGACAAGTGTAGAAAAGCTGACACTCATCTCCCTCTGATAGTGGCCTCTACTCTATGACAAGTGTAGAAGAGCTTACACTTAGCTTCCTCTTATATTGTCCTCTCCTCTATGACAAGTGTACAAGAGCTTTCACTCAGCTTCCTCTTATGATGTCTTCGCCTCTATGACAAGTGTAGAAGAGCTGACACTCAGCACCCTCTGATAGTGTCCTCTCCACTATGACAAGTGTACAGGAGCTTACACTGCGCTCCATGAGTGTGTTGGTTGGAGGGTGCCCACGGTGTGATTGAAGTGTACATAGTCTTCACTCACGGTGACAGACACTCCGGGACACATAGGAATGACAGCACAAGGATCAGATCCTTTATTTTCTGTTATTACAACATTCATTTCTGTGGAGCAATGGGAAATAATGTAACAGATCATTTAAGTTCTGGAAAGAATCTGCAGATGAAATCACTTCCTGTAAAGGAGTAACAATAGAGCCAGCCATACAGTCAGCACTGTTGTATTATGTGTACTGAACTGACTCCATATGGTGTGCTGCTCTATTCAACGTTTGTAGTACATCCCGCATTAAAGTGTATGTAAAGCCAAAGTCATTTTATTTTGTTTTGGAGGGGTGAGGGGTTTGCACCAGGGTTTTATTGTTGTCTGTTGTCCTCATTAAATTGTTATTTTACCTTTTCACAAAAAAATTAATGTGAACTAACTCACAGCACCCTCCTCACCCCCCTTCCTCCCGATCTCCACGCCACTTATCTGTAATGATGACCCTCGCCCACCACCCACACCAGCCGGTATAATGGCACGGGAACTTAAAAGCTTTATTACGCAGCCCTCAAGCCTGTATAGCAACATAATGCTTGCAGTGGGGAGCAGTGATTGGTCATTGTGGTCATAAGAATATCTCCTGAGCCTTCTTTTTTCCAGGACAGTGCTGACCAATCACTGCTCCCAATCACAACCGTAATGTTGCTATATAGCCTCCAGGGCTCTGTAATAAAGTTTTCAAGCTCCCAGATCATTATCCTGGATGGCGTGGGCAGCAGTTGAGGGTCATCATTATAGATAAGTAGCACAGGGACTGGGGGGTGAGGAGAGTGTCATGAGTTAAACTGGCCATACACTGTGCACATTTTATTAATTCATCAAGACCGGCTGAAATTCACACAGTGGGTGCCCCTGTCAGCACCCTTCTGTCAGGCATCCTTCAAAGGAGCCAGATGGAAGATTTTTGTGTGTACAGTGAGGCCAGCCATCACTGTTTAGAGTACTTTGACAGTGGTACCCCCTCCGGCATCAGATTACAAGGGACACAGCAGGAGATTTGTCCATCAAGGCTGTTTAACGTGGATGGAGGAATCTGTCATATTTTTTTTCCGTTCAGTGTGCAGGCTGTAAAAAATTATTCATTCAAAATGTTTGAAGTCTGAGGTTATCCTGCACCTGCTCTCCTGCTGCTGCCTACACATTATTGATGTTCACATCTGCCCCTGGCTTTCATTTGAGTCATTCACTAGGCAGAAGTGGTGGTGTGGGTGCAGAATGACCCCAGCCTTCAGTTCTGGGCCTGCTCTGCTGCCACTGTCTACACTTCAAGGGGTATTTCTCAACTCTGGAGCAGCTGTGCATGGCAAGCAATCAGCCTCTATCTTTCATTTTCAAATCTCAACTGAACAGACTGAAGAGAGAAGCTGATTGGTTGCCCTGGGCAACTGCTCCAGAATTTGTCTGCTCCAGGTTTGATAAATTCCCCCGTTTACATTTACACCTCAGCTCTTAATGACTGTGCAGCGGTGGTGGTGCCTATGGCCATGTCCATTTAGTCGTTGCATAAGTAAACGTTTTCAGAAACGTTTACATGTGTACCACATACGATACAATCAAATCAGACTGCGGGTGCAGAATTTTCTAGTTTAGTTTGATGCAGCTGGATGCTATGGGAAAAAAGTGAGAAAACACAGTTGTGTGAATGGGCTGTACTGTACACAGTAGGAATCTGAACACAGCAGTGTTATTCACCCATGGGCATGAGCCCTACACAGCTATAGCAGAAACTTTTTTTATGCAGCTACATATTGCTATTAAATACTGATGAGCTGGGGCTTGGTGTGAAGCCAATTCATTCAAGCCCGCTCCAAACCGAGACCAACACCCCCCTTCGGGCCCAATCAGTGGCAGCAGTTGCGTTGGGTGCATTGTCCACTCCTTTGTGGCATGTAGCTGCGTCATGGGGAATGCCAGGAGTGGGGTGGGTTGGTCATAGTTTTGCATAGGCTTGGGCAAATTTAAGCAAACTGGGTTCGCACCAAGCCCAAGCTTACCTCTGCTAATAAGCTGTGGTCACCAGAAGCTGCATTGGATAACATTATTAACTGGTAAAGCTGCTGATAAAAGTAAATCCCTACAAATCGCTTGGAATTTCTGCAGCCCAGACCTTTCTTTCACTGCAATTCAATGTTCTAGCAACAAAAAGCTAAGGAGAGCAATACTGTAGTCGTGTGATACGGGCCTTAGAATTTGTGCCCATCTTTTAAAAAGCAAAATTGAGAGCCACTGTTTGCCAAAAATAAATTCTCACAGCAGACAACTTTACTCTGAAAGTCTCTACAATGTCAAAGTCAATAAAAAACCTTTGTGGAAGCTGTATCAGACTGGCATTGCCATTGCTTAAAGAATGTATTCTTTGTATCTTAGAGGAGAGTTCTATGAGTTTGTCAAGTCGTCTGCTCATACATGTTATCTCTGTGTTTGGTGGAGCAAGAAAGCATGTTCATAAATAATACATTTCACCAACAAAGCTTTTGAATACCTTATTACTGGAAGTAGTTTATCAATAACTAGGAGAGGGGGCTAAAGGAAAGGTGATACGTGTCACCTGAGAGCATTTGCAATCATTGGAAACAGGTGACTTTGTGCTGTGAAGAAAAGTCCAAGGACCTGTAGCACTCCTAAAGGTGGCCATACACTGTACGATTCTCGTACGAGAATCGCGGGAAATCCTGCGATCGTACGAGAATCGTGCAGTGTATGGAAGGTGTATGGTCTTCCGTCGAACAAGCAGGCTGGAAAACCAGCCGGGAATCGTACGATTCTCGGCGAGTTGGTGGCCTGCTTGTTCAACAACTGCCGAACGGGCCGGTGTGCGCATGCGCACACTGCCCATTTGCAGTCATCGCAAGCCCGCCCCTCATTGCAGTCATCGCAAGCCCGCCCCTCAGGGGGGCGGGCTTGCGATGATCGCAAGTACGATCTGCCTGTCCAAGATGGGCAGATCGTACTTTTTTTTAAGTACTTTACAACCCTCGCAACACATAAGTCTTGCGAGGGTTGTAAAGTGTATGGCCACCTTTAAGGTGCCCATACACCTTACGATTATCGTACGATAATCGTATGCGATCGACTTTTCGTACGACAAATCGTAACGTGTGAATAGAGTGCCCGACCGATAGTACTGTACAATCATACGACTTTTGACGGTCAAGCATGTTTGAAAACTTTGGTCGATCGTACGATGTTCGCATGGTTGGTGGCGTTTAAGTCCATCAAAAGTCGTACGATTAACACTGCGCATGTGCAAATCCATTTATTTGATGACACTTTGAGTGATGACTGACATCAAATAAATGGATTTGCACTGACATCTAAGTGTCTGTCGTGCTGGTGTGCTGGTGACGTTCCTATACATTTTTTTGTGCTGTGAAGGCCACATTTGTTCTGCTACACCCCTCTTATTAATTACACTGGGATCTGAGCTGATGGTTTTGGCTGGACAATAGGTCAGGAGCTAAGTATATCTGTGGAAGATATTTCATTTTATGTATTTTTTTCCAA